TGGGCCGGTCAGTCCCCGAGCCCGGAGCTCTGGCGTGTCACTCAGCCAAGTGTTGTTGGGAACTGCGCCGCTCGTCCAGCGGGATAACTCGTCCTGCCGTGTCCCGGTAGCCCGAGCCGTACCCAGCCCTGATTGCCTCTCGCTGGCTTTTTCTGCCTGCCAGAGAGAGTGAACGGAAAACAACGTTAAACGCGTTTCTAGCCGTTCAACACGTTGTGGGGTGGAAAAAAGTAGCATGTTTCTCCATGTATTGGGGGAATGTGTATATACGCACGCACAAATATATCTATATCTAATTTGTCTGTATCTATTATATATACATGTATAGATAGATGCAGATATTTGTTTCTCCTGATGCCGTTATATCGGGCTTGCTGGCTAATGAGTAAAATAGTGGGCGAACGTCGCACCTCCCTTTGACGTGCAAGTGCCAACAGCTTGTGCGGGCAGGATTGCTCAGTGTCCTCCCTCCTTGCCGTGACTCCAGGCTCCGAGCCGCGCTTTGTGTTGGCACATGAGTCTGCCTCTTTTAAGAAGCCTGTTGGATCACAGCCAGAAAATTCTGTGTTTAGGTTTGAGCTCCCCATCTGAAAGATGGGCTTGAGTTTAGTTTGCCTAAAGGTAAAAACAACAGCAAAAATTACTTTTTAAGTCATATGTCATAATCTCAGAATTTTAGTGTATTTACAACTTCTCATAAAAAGCAAGAACTATCCCTCCCGGCACATCTTTGTGAAAGGCGTGGAAAATATCTGTGGACAGAGCAAGCAAAAATATAAAGAGCAAACATGAAGAAAAGGCACCAATGTACCTTTCATTTCTGTGGTAAAAACATGGTTCCTTATATTAACTAGTGTGTCTCCTACATAAGAGTAGGTATAGAAAACCGTAAGATTTTGTTTTGAAAATTTGTCATAGCAACGTAGAAAGAATGTAAACGTCCAAAGCATACTGGATTCTTCTTTTAAAAAAGCTTTAATACTGTCAGCAAGTAAAATCCTAAATATTCCAGCCAAAAAAATCAGCATTTTAGGCCTAATCTACACTGAGAAACATAATGGCGTACTTATCTACAGAACTCTAAAGCTCCAACAACTCCATATGTGTTTTGTTTCTGTTGCAGCAACTGTTCCTATAGGACGTGATGGTAGTATGATTTTAAGGTCAGTTGTGGAAACCCCTCTTGTAACAGATAATGACTTTTTACTATCAAAGTGATTTTACTGCCAGTATTACCACGCAGCCCTGTCCAGCTCACATCTCCATCAAACAGATCTCTGTAACCATTCTCACGAAGCAGTTGCTTTGACCTGGTAACGTGCGTCTGGCATCAGCAAGCCCATTAAATTACTGTATTTTCTCCTTCAAGAAAGTGTTTACCTTTTAAAATTCAGTAGAGCACCTAGGCTTTGACCTGTGTTTTTTCAGTGGGATTTCACCATGTGCAGCAGTACCTAGTGTAGTAAATTTGATTAAAGTGCACTTTAATTAACTTTACTTTGATTAAAGTACATTTGATTATTATATTTAAGAATACTTCTTTTTTTTTGATCTTGCGGTGTACAGTGGCTGCTGTTTATTGTCCAGTTTCTAGTTCTGATTCAAATTATAGTCTAATGTTTAGTT